AGGGTTTAGGGTTTAGGGTTTAGGGCTCACCTTGAGTCCATTTCTTAGCAGCAAAGCTCTCAAGCGAAATGCTGGCAGCAGCAGCTGCGGCTGCTGCTGCGGGACACACAGCAGCACCTGGGGGAGGACCCAGCCTGCTGCTACATCCTGGAGGCTGCTGCTGCTGCTGCTGTTGCTCATGCAGCAGCTGCTGCTGCTCGTGCTGCTGCTGTTGCTCGCGCTGCTGCTCGCGCTGCTACTGCTGCTGCTGCTGCTTGCCGCAGCATCGCCGTTGCCTCGCTTGCTGCTGCTGCTGCAGCTGCTGCTATTCGACTCGTTCCAGACCGGTGTCAGAGCAGCAGCAGCAGCAGCAGCGGCTGCTGCTGCTGCTGGAGACTCCTGCTGCTGCTGCTGGATGTGCAGCAGCCGTGAACACAGGCAGTCAATGTCAATCTCCACAAAAATGGCAGCAGCAGCAGCAGCAGCTGCTGCTGCTGCATCTCTACCCTGGGATTGGCGGATAAGAGCGTCGCAGCGGCCCCCAACAGCAAAGACCTCGCGCAGTTTGGTTTGCTGCTGCTGCTGCTGCTGCTTGTGCTGCTGCTGCTTGTGCTGCTGCTGCTGCTGCTGCTTGCTCTGCTGCTGCTGCTGCAACGCGGACCCCACAATGCAGAAGAAAAGGCCTGAGCTGTAGCTGCTGCGGTCGAGAGGCAGCAGCAGCGAAAACTGCAGCTGCTGCTGCTCCTGAAACCCTTCAATCTCCAGCAGCAAGTGCTGCAGCAGCAGCAGCCGCTGCAGCTGCTCCTCCACGCTGCGGTGCAGCGGCAGGTCCACTGAGTCCTCGTCCAAACCCTCAGCAGCAGCAGCAGCAGCAGCACCAGAAGCAGCAGCAGCACCAGCAGCAGCAGCAGACACCGTCGAGATTTCTTCTGCGTCTCTCCGGTGCAGCAGAGGCCGGGCTTGAGCCACAAACTCCGCAGCATCTTCACTGCAGCAGACACTCTAAACCCTAAACCCTAAACCCTAAACCCTAATCGCTGCGTTCTCAGGATTAAAACAAAGGCCTTATCAATATCCCAGGATCTAGTGTTCGGAAGGCTTGAACCCGAGCTGTTGTTGGCCTCTTCTAAACCCTAGACCCTAAACCCTAAACCCTAAACCCTAAACCCTCGACTTTTACAGGGGCAGCGTGAGGAGTTGCCAAAGCCTTCTGCATCTGTGCCTGAGGTCTGGAGAAGGCTCTTGGTCGGCCCACCCCCAAAACTGCTGCTGCTGCTGCTGCTGCTGCTGCTGCTGCTGCTGCTGCTGCTGCTGCTGCTGCTGCTCGGGGGAAGGGGCCTCGAAGTCCAAAGCCCCAAAACCCGTGGCTTCTGCTGCATGCAGCTGCTGCAGCAGCAGCTCCTCCGTCAGCAAACCCGCAGCAGCAGTTGTGCGCAGCCACGCGTCCAGCGACAGCACGCAGTCCCCGGGCACCTGCAGCAAACCCTAAACCCTAAACCCTAGACCCTAAACCCTAGACCCTGAGCCCTAGGCCTTACTTCCTAAATCGTTGAGGCTGCGCTTCGACGCTGAAAGATAAGTGGGCACTGGGCTCTCAACGCCGCAGCAAACAAGGGTTTAGGGTTTAGGGTTTAGGGTTTAGGGTTTACGTCGAAGGCGAATTCGAGGATGGCGGGGAGGAAGCTGGCGCAGGTCCAGAAGAGGGCGAAGTGGGCGTGGGGCTCTCGTGCTGCTGCTGCTGCTGCTGCTGCTGGCGCGAGGACGTCTGCTGCAGCAGCAACAGCATCTGCTTCGAAGTAAGCAGCAACAGCAGCAGCAGGAAGCTCCATAGAAGCCCCCCAGGCCTCCAGAGAGGGCCGGTGCAGCAGCAGCTGGTAGCAGCAAGAAGCTGTGGGGTCTGGCTGCAGCAGCAGCGGCTGCATGCGGCAGCAGCGGTAGGCGCAGCCAGTGTAGCAGGCTTTGTTGAGGGGGGTTCTGCTGCTCAGCGGGTTGTTTGCTGCTGCTGCTGCTGCTGCTGCTGCTGCTGCTGGCAGCAGCGCGAACGGCAGCAGCATCGGCGTTGCTGCTGCACCCAGCACGCCGTACACAGAACCCGGCAGACACAACCCCCTTTCCTTTTCCTTGTTTGCTGCTGCTGCTGCTGCGGCTGCTGCTGCTTCTGCTGCTGCAGAAGCTGCAGCTGCTGCTGCTGCGTCGGCTGCAGAGCCACTCGTCGACGAAGCGCCCGGTGAACCGCTGTGCTTCTTGCTGCTGCGGCTGCTGCTGCTGCTGCTGCTGCTGCTGCTGCTGCCGACCTCGGGCGACTGAGTAGCAGGCGAGTCCTGCGAGGACGCTGCGAGGGGCTCTGCTTCGTTTTCGGCAGCAGCAGCAGCTGCTGCTGCTGTTGCTGCTGTTGCTGCCGCATCTGCTGCAGCGTCCGAAGCAGCAGCAGCTGCTGCTGCATGCAAATCACTTATGGCTAGCCCCGCGTAAAGACTCAGACAGTTGAAGGGCACAAACAGCTCCAGCAGGCCCTGCGGCGGCTGCGCCTTTCCCCCCTTGCTGCTGCTGCTGCTGCTGCTGCTG